TGTTGAGATAGGTTGACACCAGTTTTCACTGTTGCCACATCTGCACCAGTTTCGGCACAGCGTCCAGGAATTTTATTGAAACAAAATAATTTTGTGCAATGTCGGGGTTTTTTTAGCTTTACAGAAGTATGATATTTGCCTGTGATCACAGTGAGAAAAGAAGAAGAAAGAGATCAAAGAATATCAAGCAAATGATACTTTAGGGCAAATTATATGACATATATTTTTACAAGGCGATTGAATGATAAAATAGATTTGTCTTGCACCTGTTCAGATTAATTTTTTATGCAGTGTTGGGAACAGGAGAGTTTGTTGGATACTCTTTTGTTTTCAAAGCTATAGAGTAAGTTTTGGTTAAAGCACTGGGGAGAGAAAGCCTCAAACAAAGGGGCTCTTGGCTCTGAAATTTTCTTTTCCAAAACCTTCCCCCGCCTCTTATTAACTGGTCTAATAAAAGTAACTTTTTCCTCCTACAAGCTTTGTTACATTCTTTACTAATTTGTTGGTTTGTGTCTGTAGATGGGCTGGGTAAGGCTGATGCATCCTGTTATTTTGAGGGAAAAAAAAATGCTGCCCATGTAGTTTGAGAGAGTACTCTTTAAATGAGTTTTACATTGGTGAGCACTGACACTTATAACAACCAAAGCAAAGTCTCCTAGAGATGACATATATAGTAGCAAAGCTTTACAATATTGGTAACAAGATTTCAATAAAGGACCAAAGTCTCCTAGAGATAACATATATAGTAGCAAAGCTTTACAATATTGGTAACAAGATTAAACATCAATAAAGGAAGAAAAAGGCAATACTGGGACAATCTGTTAATCTCAAAAGATGAAATTAAAATAAATTATTTTTTTCCAAGCTCTAAAACATGATAGACTCTACCATCATAATGTACAGAAGCTAGTTAATATGCTAACTAGGGATTATGAGGGCAACAGTGGCTAATATTAAAGTATTCTTATAAATAACTTAAAGATTTTAAAATGTCATTAGGAGGCCAATGTAATGCCTTTAGCTTTTTTTTCTTTAAGTTTATATTAATTTATGTGCCTTTAGCTTTTTTTTCTTTTAAGTTATATCAGTAATTTAGGTGAATTAGTTTTAATATTCTGACAGCTTCAGACATGACTGCATGAACAGCTCTGTTGGTAGAGCAGTCTGAGAGCTGGAAAGCTCTGTTTGGCAGAGGATGACAAGTAAGTGCTGCAGTCCCAGAGTGCTGTTTTGGCACAGCAGGTCTAAATGAACTTCATTTCATGTTCCTCATAAATCCTACTCTCCAGCCAATTCCTTGCTATCTGTTGATTTATCTTTCTGTTTTCTCACTTTCTTGATTACTTGTGTGCAATGACTTCATTGTCCTTGTCCAAAATCATAGCAAAGGGATGAGGAACTTAATTTGATTTTTTTTTTAATTCATGCAAGAATCTGGTAATGGTTTTTTGGTTTGGTTTTTTTTGTTAGCAAGATGATAAGCATTTGATCAAATCTTGAAAGTAGACACAGGCTGTCTAACTGATAATGTATTTCTCCTGCATTAATTGTGCTAATTTGTTATCACTTCAAGCTTTCTGTTCAATCAGGGTAGAAGAGGCTGAGGGTTTTTTAAAAACAATTTTAGAATGAGGCTTTAATGTTTCAGAATAGATCATACTGCATGCAAATGCTTCACTTCTGATTGTGAAAAGCTGATTGTTTAATTCAAAAGTGTAAAGAACTCCTTTTAAAATATACTAAAACATGTTTACTATAATAAATGTTATTTAGCAAAATAATGTTTAAAATCATTTAAACTTTGTTTTACTAACCTTTTCCTCCTTCTTGAACTTGTTTTACTTAAATATATACTTAAATATATAAGTATATATTCTTAAAATTATTTTAGTAATTTTAGTTTTAATAATTTTGTATTGGTAATTGATTATCACTTTTAGGTGACTCAGTTGTTGGGGTTTTACTACAGAAGGCTTTATAGATGCTGTATGTAGCCACAACTAGGCTAGATATCCAGAAAGCTGAATATCTAGATATTGAAGCTTTGTTTCAGTGTATGTGAAAACTTTGGACTATAAAGCCATTATACTGAAGGGGCTGCATGACATACAACACTCGCTAGATATTGACGCTGAAAATATTTTGAGGTGAAGGGAAAGCTCAAACCGTTGTATAATGTACAGTATATGATGTGGTATTTTTATGATGTTCTTTAAACATTAACAATTTAGCAATTTTATGTTTTGGTTATGAACATAGATGTTTGCAATGAAGTCTCTTCTAAACTGGTCCTTGCTTAGGCATTAGTTTCCAGAGATTCATGCATCTGTCTTTTCCTTCCTGTTTATAAAACTTGCATTATTAGTCTATAATGTGGGAAGCATATTTTTTGGTACAAAACCAGTGTATTTTTGTAATTGTAGTTTGATTTTATTTTATTTGTAATGGTGCCTTCATATCTATGCAGCATTGAAATAGGTATTCCTAAGACTGCCTAAGAAATCCATGCCTTGCAAAAGCATCTTCTTGTGGGGATGCAGAACTCCCATGGCATAAGGCCTTTTTTTTTTTTTTTAATCTTTTAGTGCTGCACTAATTGTAGCGGATACACAAACTCCACATCATTACCGTTTATTGATACTACTATCAGCATCCTAATGTAGAACTGGAACTCTTTGTAATTAGGTCTTCCCTTTAAAGCAGAAAAATGCTCTTTTCTGTCCTTCAGTGCTAAATTTTTCAATCTAGGTAGGGAACTGTCTTCAAACAAAAGCGTAGCCATATCCCCTGAGAATGTAGCACCCCTGAAGGCCTAGTTTTCTCAAATACTTTAAGATTGCATAAACTGATACCGCTACCAAAAGTGATAGTCCCATCTAGTCCTTTTGTTCAAATATCTCTTGTGTTAGTTCATGAGTTTGTGTGATCGCAGTGAACCAGGTGAGGAAGATTTACTTTCTTAATTTTTTTTTCCTTTGAGCTAATTTTAACCAAGATCAGGACTTCCCTCTGTGTGCTTAATGGGGAGAGCAGCTCCAGCATGGACTGGTTTCGGCCACTACAGAGCGGCATCCTCAGCAGGATAAGCTTTTGTTGTACATTATAGGAAATAATTCCTGTATCTTTGCGCAGGAGAATCGATGTGCACACACATGTAATGTACCCCTCAAGTATCAACTTAATTAAGATAGTCTTTCACATGCATTGTGTTAAATACAGTTTTGCAATAATCAAGTTCACCTTAACTTAATAGTAAATTTGACACATACCCAAATAAACCAAGGAAGTGTGGCCTCTTCTTTCCCTTTTAACTTTTTTGTGGCACCTTTCACCATCCTTGTTTGCTTGCCTGTACCTTCTGCCTTTTTCCAGGGAATATTTCATCAGAAGTATAACAACTCTTCTGCTATTAAAGTGTTTTTTCTTCAAAGTGCATTTTGCTTAATGTTGTCACGTGATAGATTTGCAAGGTTGGCTTGGAAAGGTTGAGTCTTCGTAATGAAGCCTGAGTGAATGGGATCAAAGCCAGTCACTTCACCGTGAAGTTTAGAAACCCTTAAGTTTCTCCCTTCCCATTTCTTTTGCTTTTCATTTGGGATAACAGATATGAATAATTAATCTGCATATCTAAACAGCAAGTAAATGCTATCAACTATTCTCTTCTACTTATTTTCTGTGAAAAGTGAGCATGGTGGCAAAGACAGGAAGGACTGAAGGAACTTTATTAGGGCATAAAGCAAGTACTGTACTGAAAAGCACTCCGATCATAGTAAACAAACACCGGCAGCCCTGTCTGGCTGGTAGCTAGGTACAAGGATACTGCATTTCTCTACAACTTAACTATTGCACTTTGTCTGGGCCCCAGCCTTCTATGATACAGACTCTAGGGAACTGGCTATGTTAAAATCTGGAACATCTCTTTCAGACTTGAAACTTGATTTCAGGTGGCAGGGTGTCCTTTGGTTTGTAATGTGATATGTACAGTTTAAAATACCATGCTCCTTTCTTGTAGGCAGAGGTCAAGCTTCCATCTTATCTGCTATGACAATACTTTCTATTAAGTTTCATATTTTGTTTATATTTACTTTACACTGAAAGCACAAACTGAAATCTTCTTGTAGTTTAAGAAAGGCTGTGCTTTATTCTGTGGTTGCACAGCAGTGTGCATACATTTAGTGCTGTTACCTGTGGGACCAAGCACAGAAGCCATTAGCTATTGTGAATTGCTGAGAATGAAAACAGGCCTTCAAGAAAACATCCTTTCTACCCTTGTGCCGCATCTAATATTGCTCCTACTTTTCCGCTTGAATGTGTGGCAGTGCAGCATCCTCCTGTTGGTATGCACGAGCTGAGCTCTGCTCTCAGATCAATGGTCATGGTGCAGAATAAGGGCTGCTTTCTTGGACTTATGTTTTCAGTATTGGGTGTAGGTGTTTGTCGGCTAAACGATTCCAGAAGAAGAGAATTATTGCTGTAAGGGGTGCTGTAGAATTATCATGTACCAGACAAATCTTTTTTTTAATCCCCTCGTGTCCTTAAATTCCCTTTAAAGTCAAGTATGTCTAAAATGCAATAAATTAACAGGAATTGGCACCTGCAGACTTAAATGTTTGGGTTTCTATCAATATTTGCTGTGTTTGTGTGTATCTTTTTTTCTTTTTTTTTTTTTTTTTAATTTGTAGACAGAGTTATTGATAGCTATTTTGTTCTGTTTCTGTAGATTGAAAGTAGCTTTAATCCGGCACTGCTGGATGGTGACAAAAAGATTTTAGTCTTTATGACTGCAGTATTCAATATACAATTTATACCATTACTGCTTGTCTTCTGCCTTTCGGGTCAGTGAGAGTAGAAAACAGTTCCTTATAATTTTTGTGGTGATTTTAAAAGAATGTTATTCATTTGTATCATAATATACTGGATGTAGCATAAATTGTTTAACCATAAGAGTTTTATTGCATACAATGTGCTGTAATATTTACATGTTGTTTTGTCTGTTGCAGATCTAGAAATGGCAATTGCATATTGGAATTTAGTCTTGTCAGGAAGGTTTAAATTTCTAGATCTTTGGAATAAATTTTTGTTGGTAAGTACGTACTGTATTCCTTCCTGACTATCTTAGTCCACAGTAGTCTGGCTTGTAGGCTGTGTGCTTACAATAGAGAAAAAGACAGGACGTCTGAATACTTCCTTTGAACTCTTTCCTTTTTGAAAACTGATATAAAATAGTCTTAAATCAAGCCAAATTAAATCTTCTCTATATAATTTTCTAATTGCAAAGAACGCAAAAAGATGTAGCAAAGCAATAGAGCATTCTGCTTCCTTGATCCTGTATCCTCCTACTTATGAAGGCTTCTGCATGAAATGAAGCCATGATTGTAGATTGAACCTACGTTGTCTTTATTCTCAAGACAGCTGTGATTATTGTCAACCATGTATTTTACCATGCTCTGCCTTTTGTAGTATTAATGCATAAACTCAGTCTTTTTTAACTATCAATTCTGTTATGACTGACTTAACCTGAGAGACTTTTCTTTTTAAGCGAAAGTTCTTGTCTGAGTAATTATTTTGACTCAGTGTTTAGATAATAGTTGTGAACTGATCTTGACAGTTTTCTATTCCCACTGCAATTCTGTGGGCAGTGAGGTAAAGATGCATAAATTAAACTTCAGAAATTGCAAAATATTCTTATTAAAGACCTGATTCATTCATCCATGTTTCTACATTTGCATTTCTATGTACTTGCAAAGAAAATACCTTATATAATGTTACATAATGTATAATTTATCTTGATTTTTTTTTTCAATTTATCTTTTTATCTGTAGTTCAGGAGAATTAAGAAGTCTTTCTGCATTTTGTCTCATAATCACCAATGCTTAATAGGGAAAGTGTATACTTTTTTGCAATATTTTCTGAAGTTTTTTTCTAAATTTTTGGACAGTATACTTATTCACTGAATAATGTACCAGTTTCATCAAGAGAACTTGTGAAAACATTTCGCATTTTAACTGCCTTAATACACTTAACACATCCAAATTCCGATCTATAGAAGTAACTGAAGAAATGTCCTAATGTTTTTTTCCCACTTGGCTATGTGTTCAAGTTTGTTGCAACAGACAGTTCTCAAATACCTAACTTCAAGAAATAATCTAGATGATCTGGTATAAAGTGTCTTGCTTTGCTACAAATATTTAACCTGAATGTTTACTTTAGAAGAAGTGTTTAGATTAAAAAAATTCAACCTAAGAAAGAAGCAACTTAGGACTCTTTAGGATGAGGGGTTTTTTTTGTTTGTGTTTTGTTTGTTTTAAGGAACCTTTTCCAGAAGTTATGTTTGCTTGTCATATTTTTTGCAGTCAAGATACGACATTTGGCTTGAGTGAGAGGACATGTTTGCTGTTGTTTTGGACATCAACTTCATTTTGATCAAGTTCCAGATTTTTGAAATGCAGTTTGTTCTTCTCAATACTTCAGAGTATTGCTGCTTAAAAAAAAAAAAACCCAACCAACTAAACAAAAAAACCCACAACACAAAACCAAAACCACAAAAAAACCCAACCCTTCACCGATTAAGTCTTTTCGTGCAGTTGCAACTTTTCTCTGCAAACCAGAACTAGGTGTTGAAATTTAATTCCCTATTACTCACCCCTGCTATCTTCAGGTAACACAGCAGTATCACCAGATGAAGGGAGATGTGAATGGTCTGACTTGATCCTACAGCTCACAACTGCTTAGTAGTTGTGTTTCCCCACACACTCTCTCTTCTTGGGAGTGTTTATTTTAAAAGCTGAGAGAACGCTGATTGGGACTGAAGTTTTTGGAGTGCTGCTCAAACTGGCCAGGGTGGCAACTAGGACTTGTGAATGGGGTGATGCAGAAAGAGCGTACTTGAAATCGGACAAGAGGTGGTAGTGGAGAATAGGGCAGACTGGGAAAAAGGAGACTGGACAGAAGTGGAGCAAATGCAGGTAGTGCATTATGGTGAAGGAGAGAACAGCTGAAGAGAGGCCGAGATGACGGATCCGGAAGGTAGTCTGGGAGTAAGTGGGAAGAGCGAAGGTGCAACTGTAACCAACAGGTTGAAAGAGAGACTGGGTAGGTGTGAGTAAAAAGGGATAAGGAAAAAAGGCCTCAAGTTGAAGTGGCAGAATGCTAACCTGTGGCTGCACAGTTTCAAAACCTGGAATGGATGCCATTAAGTAGAAGTATAAAGTGCATTTGGTTTATTCTTTTCCATAACAAGTTAGGAACACATACCCTAAAAGCAGAATGGAAGAAATAAATGACTATCAAAGACGACTTATACTTTTTTGCCGCCTTCAGTTGTAATTTATTTTGTAGCTTTCTTTGGAAGCTCTGAGCTTCATTTAAAAAAAACAAAAGAGAGAGAGAGAGAAGAAGAAGAAATACTTGTAAAACATGTATTTCTGTATATGTCAGTATATCAAAATACTACTGTGGAATTTGAAAATAGTTTGGATTGAACAGTACCATTTTTCCTCCTTTATAGGAACATCATAAAAGATCAATTCCAAAAGATACTTGGAATCTTTTGTTAGACTTTGGAAATATGATTGCAGATGATATGTCCAACTATGATGAAGAAGGTAAGCAGTACTTGAATCTCTTTAAAAATTGGTACAGCAGAATTAAAATATTGCTATAAACAAACGACAGAACATGCTGCTACCTTCTGTCTTAATTTGTTTACCCTTAGAGGTTTAGCTGCAAATATAGTCATACTTGTTGCCAAAACAGTAAAGATAAGAAGGTTAACTAGTTTGCTGTAGTATGTAAATAAAAGTAAAGATACTGTCACACCATGATATAGCGCACGCTATTTGAACCCGTTATGCTGCAAGAGTCTCAGTGAAACTGTACTTTTTGTACAAAAGTGCTGCTAACTGCAAGGAAATACATCATTCTTCTATTTGCAAGAATGTCTACGTGAGCATTTTTTTTACGAACCTAAAAGCAATTTACACTCTGTTACTAATCCTGCAAATCCTATTTTGGAATGACTGTGTACAGAAATACTTCCTAAGTTATGAATGGCTCTAATAGGAATGCCATGGTTTTGCTATCAACTAATGTTTATAAACTTTGTAGCGTGGATTATGCTTTAAATATGTTTTGTTTGTACTAAGAACTATTGCTGTAAGAAGAGATTCAAATGTTTAATTTATTAGTTAGGCGCTTTTTTCCAAGTGTTTATCGTATCGTGTGTTAAAGCCAGACTAGGGCAGAAATGTCAAAGTGAGCTTCTGATCCTTTGTATTTAGAGACTACACCCATTTGTTGCTAATAATGATACATTAATTTCTGAATTGCTTGACTTCTCTTTAGGAGCGTGGCCTGTTCTTATAGATGATTTTGTGGAATATGCACGACCAGTAGTCACAGGAGGAAAACGTAAAACTTCCTAACCCCAGGCTTGTCAATATGGACTAAAAGTGCGCTCTGAACTGCATTAGGTAATGAAGATTTGTTGACTGATAACTGCGCATTGTTGCTGGTTTCAGTGGTCGTGATGACATTCTGCAGACAAAACTGAAATTCTTCCTTTCTGCCTAAAGAAAATGATGGCTGACTTGTGGACACTTCAAGAACAAACTCAGAAGATAGTCCAGGCTGTTTGTAGGCTATTGGCTTCAATTATTGTACTGGTTGTATCATATAGGATGTAGATTTTTGCATGATTTTATACTTCGGAGAAGTTTAACTAGAGGCCATTTTATTACAGTTTTGACAGCACAGCATGCAATTCAGTTCGTGATCCAAAGTGAACACCAGCAGTTACATAAATAAAACTGTATTATATTGTACTTATATTAAAAGCAGTATTTGTGGTATATAAATTAAATCCCTAAATAAAACTTATGCAGTATGTTGTATTTTTATAAAAGTTAGCTCCGTGGATCTGTCCTAATACAGAATTGTAACAAAACAAAAAAAATTATGCTTTTTTTTACTTGTTGCCAAAATTTTAAATTTGTATTTTTAAGTCTTAGATGTATAGATTGATTACATCCAGCCTTTTGTTTTCTCCCAGTGAGATTAACTTCCTCATTATTGAAGTGCTTGGACATGTAACAGTAGCGTTGCTGAGGAAGGGCTGCTGCTCTATGCCATGTTGCAACTCCAGCTTTTTTTATTAACCATTTTAAAGTTCGCATTAAACAACCAAAGATGCTTTTATAATTCCTGTTTGATTATCGTAATTCGTTTAGTCTTCAATTATGTGTTTTATTTACTTTATTTTAAATCATGAACTGGTGGAATATAACTTTTAGTTTTATTTGTAGCCTGAAACATACGGTAATTTCTAGCTAAATGCAGCGTAGTTATAAATGCAATTCCTGGCACTTCTCACAGAAAATAAATGTGAATAAGCCCGAAGACTTAACTAGTTGGCTTCCACTTTGGAGAAATAGTTAGGGGTAAGGAGACATTACATTAATGATGATGAGCATTTATGCCTCTGGATGTATTGTGCATTCAGTAACATCTATTTAAGGGGAAAAAAAAGAGTAAATTAATGCAGTATCATTGATCTCAAGGCTAGTGGAATTGGACTAGTTTTCACCAAATGTGAATTTGTTCAATCATTTGTTTGTTCCCTTTCACCAGCTATCGATTATAAAGTGTACAGAGGTCAGTCTCCTCTTTCTCAACAGTTTCTTCCAATGTCTAAGCACAAGAGTTTTACCAGAAACTATTCAACACGTCTTCACACAGGGCTCTCTTAAATGCTACCTCATCAAAATGAGTTTGTCATAACCAGTGCAAAAATTCGATAAAACAAAGAGTTGCTAAGGAGTATGTACAGCTACGATCAACATATTTTCTGTAATCAGAGCTGAATAGACGCAAGAATTTTGGAGAAAATAGTGTATTAAGTTATATAATTTATAACTGTTTGGATCACATCAGATCATTTAAGTATTGCATGACAGCATACTATTTTATTTTGTAGTTGTGAGGGTATAAAAGCTTACAATATTCTCTTAAACTCTAATATTTAGAGTTTCATATAAGCAGTCAGCTTTCATTTATGTCAGTGCAGCCTACAGGAACAAATGTACGTGCTGCGTACAGAAAGATTACCTTCATTCTTCCGCTTGAGAGAATTTCAGTTGTCCATGATATTTAAAAAGCAGGGTTAGGACAAAATTGAAAAAAATAGCAAGTTTTCTGTTAATAAGAATATAGCAGGCAAGTTACAAATGCCCCATGAGTGATTTATATTAGTAGTCTTTTTACCCTAAGCAGGATTTGTTAAATGTTAGACCTTGCACGGCAGCCACTAGATGTCAGTGTCCCAGCCTTCAGCTGCCTCTCTCTCTCCTGTGTAGAGTTAGGGAGTAATATTAAGCCAAATTATTACTTTCTGACTACATCTTTTTAGAAGGGCGCTTGTCCAGGTATTCTACAGAAGTCGACGGAGATTTAAAAACAGTATTATGCTCTTTCTAATGCGTTTGATTTACCTACTCTTCCTTCCCGGAACAAGCCGTTTCTGTATCTGTCCTGTAGGCTTTGGAGGATGTGTAACATCTCGTAACATCAAGGGCATTTATCGAGCCAAAAGTGGTGGAATGCCTGTTGTTCACACAGTTGCCACTTAAAATGCATAGCTATAATATAACTAACCAGAAGTAGTTTAATCTATTGGTATGTGATGTAACTGAATAGTTTCATAGTGCTAGAGCTTGCAAAACATTTGTTCATGCTGAGAAGTCCCTCAAATCAATCTGATTAACCTTTTCCCTTTTAAAATAAATAGAGCATAAAAAATGCATGTGGGTTGAGGTTTTTTGCCTTGTTAACCTGAGGAAGAAGGAAGGTGCTTAGCACAGTATTCAGTTTCTATATGTACACACTTATTCACTTACTCTTAAGCCTCATTCCTGTGAGGATCCTTTATGGAAGACACCTTCCAACAGAGGAAGACTGGGCAAAATACTCTGGGCAAAATACTCTCAAGACAGGAATTGCTCCTTATCAGTCAGCTTCCTAGGCATAATATGCTTTTTCTTTTGTTCTTCCTAGTCTTCTACCATTTTGAAACCACATACGCATTTTACATTCCCATAAATGATAGCATAGAGTAACACCTTCACACTTGAACAATCGTAAAAATAAATGCAACTAAACTGCTTTCAAATTATGAGTTCCTTACGTATTTTAATAATTTGCTGCTGTCCAAAGTTCCGCTTTACAGGGCACTCAGACTCGCTTTTTAGGTAAGCTGGTACAGTGGTAACCCCTAGGCTGATCAATTTATAATCATAAATGGTACAGATGTCTTCAAGTTGTTCAGTGCATACGGTATTAGTTCCTAGATATGCTGTATGTATTTTTAAACTTGGTGCCAAGTTGTTTGGTTTTACATCCTAGAGTGTTTGAAACTGAGCCATAGGATTTGTACTTGCCAATTCTAAATTTAAATGTAATTTATCATGGATGTCATGCCAAGGAGAGCAAACCTGCAGGCATCTGCTCATTCAATGCACCTGAGAGATTTGCTGCTGAGTAAGCTGTACATGTGTAAATTTTGTGGCAATGGAAAAAGGAATAAATGGACTGTCAACATAAAGGATTGAAGTCAGTCATGTGAGATGTCTGTATGGTTTTTGTCAGCTTTCTGCTTTGGAAGCCTTGCAAAGGCTGGTGGGTTTTTTTTGTTTTCTGGTTAATTTATTGGATTCTTGCATTATTATTCCATCAGTCAGAAGAGAGTAAGGATGTAACTCATTAATTGTTGAGCAGTTGTAATAAATATCTGTTTTGCTCATCTGTGCCACCTTTAAGCTTTTAAGAAGCTCACTGTGTTTAGCTGCAGTGGTGCATCCACTACACGTACCTGCTAGCGACCAAGCTCTCTGCAATTTGTGTCATTAGTTTGTACTGGCAATGAGAGGTGTAATTGCAGGGAAAGCCTTGCTCAGTCCTAGGCTCTGAGCTCTGTAGGAGAAGCAGCATGCTCAGAAGTCTGCGCAAAGACCTTCAGAGGTATGTATTCAACTGTCCTTAATTCTCTTCTGAAAGTTTAAATCAAAATAAATAAGTTGTCCTCTGTACTCTCCCAGCTGGCATCCCTCTCCGGTGGTTTCACCAACCACTGGCTGCTTTGGTATCACACGGGTCTCTCTTCCTTCTCCTATAACAGCGCAACTGCTGATGCTGATACTTGAACCACGGCAAGTGGTTCTTTTCCTTTCAAGTGTCGGCACCAGTAGCTTCCCTCAGCTGATGCCAACCAGCATCTGGCACACCAAAAGACATGTGTTTTTCCCTTCTGAAAGGGTAAAGTGTAAGGTTTTACAGCCGTGAGAACTCTTTTTAAAAAACATTCAACAAAACATGTTTTCTGACCTTTGCATTATGTACAGTATGTTGGGTAGAATTAGGTGAGGATGACACACCTCTTAAATGGGCTTTTTTTGTTATAAACTGTTGACAGAGGGGTCTGCAACTGCAGCTACCGCTACAACCA